GCTAATACCAACACTCGAGGTGAGGATATGCTTAATTTTATACTTGGCAATAACCTTATCTTGGCTAACAATGGCTCAAAACCAACTTTTATCAACGCGCGTTCGCAAACTATTATTGATTTAACAATGGTAACTGCTGGTCTGTCAGATCACATACAGGACTGGCACGTATCCAACGAGTTATCATGCTCGGATCATAGGTGGATCCGCTTTGCAATCAAAGGGGAGCTACCTAAACCTCAACCTAGACGTATACCGCGGAGAACCGATTTGGTAAAATTTTATAGACTTATCAGCTCCGAGGTAGACAAACTATCGATACCAACCACCATAAATATACAAGACATAGACAAACATGTAAACAACCTAACGTCCCTACTCCTGACAAGCTATGAACGGTCGTGTCCCCTTACCATACCAAGATGGGGAGGGAGACATAACTGGTGGTGCCCCGAACTGGAGAGACACCGACGGAAGGTCAGGAAGCTGTTCAATAGAGCAGTGAACACACGGTTACCCACCGACTGGGACAAGTACACGGTCGCGAGAAGGCGATTCAAAAAACTTTTACGTACTAGGAAGCTGGAGTGTTGGAGACACTTCTGCACCAGTATTGAAACCAACAACCAGGCAACCAGGGTGAAATCATGCCTCTCCAGAGAGCCCAATCACTCGATCGGTTGTCTTAAAAAACCTGACAATTCATTTACAAAAACTGATTCAGAAACATGTGAACTACTACTGGCAACACACTTTCCGGGTTGCATAATTGCCAACGAACAGGCCTGGCAACCATACTCAGAGAGAGCCACTGACAGCTCAGACTGGCAAGTAGCTCACAAAATAATCACTAATGAAAAAGTAACGTGGGCAATCAACTCCTTCCTTCCATTCAAAGCGGCTGGTTTGGACGGCATCTTCCCAGGACTACTAAGATGGAGTGGGAACTTAATAGTAGACTATCTTGTCTCTGTCTTCCGAGCCTGTATAGCCCACCGATACATACCCTTGAAATGGAGAGAAGTAAAAATCTTATTCATCCCAAAACCAGGTAAAGAGGACTATACCCAAGCGAAGTCCTTCAGGCCTATTAGCCTTACTTCATTCTTCTTAAAAACGATGGAGAGGCTGGGAGACCTGGAGATACGCAGCCGGGTATCGCTATCCAAATTCCTACACCCTAATCAACATGCCTATAGCTCGGGCAAATCAACAGACTCATCACTCCACAACGTCGTGTCTCGCATTGGCAACTCCCTGAAGTTAAAGCAGTCAACCCTTGGTGCATTCATTGACATCGAAGGTGCTTTTGACAAAACAAACTTCACGAGTATAACCAGAGCACTAAGGTCATGTGGAGTACCATCAACCCTTATAGAATGGATAAACAACATGCTAAAACAACGAGCTATACAGTTCACGGTAAACTCCACAACACGAGGCATTGTCAGCAGAGGATGTCCGCAGGGAGGTGTTCTATCGCCGCTACTGTGGAACCTGGTGGTTAATGAACTAATCACTGAACTCAACGCTGACAATCTCTACACTGTGGGATATGCTGATGACATAGCTATCTTGATATCTGGGAACTTTGAAAGCACCTTATGTGACCTCATGAGAAGAGCTTTCAAAGTGATTGAGAGATGGTGCAATGAGCACGAGTTATCTGTCAACCCATCAAAAACAGAACTAATACTTTTTTACCAACCGAAGAGTTCTTGGACCGTACAAACTTCCGAAACTCTTCAACACTGAACTCATACTCAAGAATGAAATCAAGTACCTGGGTGTGATTTTGGACAGTAAACTGCTCTGGAACAAACATCTAGAACACAAACTAAACAAAGCAACGATCGCCTTTTATCAATGCAAAAAGATGCTAGGCGTGAAATGGGGCTTATCGCCTAAGATAACATTATGGATATACACTGCCATAATTAGGCCAATGCTAGCCTATGGAGCCCTTGTTTGGTGGCCCAGAACAGAACTTCAAACGGCAATTACCAAACTCGGACGCTTCCAGAGGCTTGCTTTGTCCGCTGCTAGCGGTTGCATGAAAACAACACCAACTGCAGCAATGGAGATGGCCCTGCAGATCTTACCCCTGGACCTACACATACAGCAGGAGGCAGCCCTGGCTGCTATCAGGCTTATGGTACTGGATCTATGGGGAAAAAATCACTACAGTGCACACACAGCGATTCTCAACAGGGCAATAGAGTATCAACCTCTTATTGCTGCGCCCTGTGATAGAATCACTAACCAACTAATATTTAACAGGAAATATCATATACAACTGAGAGAAGAGGAACATGATCGGTCGACCGTAAATGAGCTACGTATATATACAGATGGATCCAAAACAGGGTCTGGCTCAGGCGCTGGCATATTCTCTCTTGATCTCAACATCAACATACACCTACCCTTGGGCACACAGAGCACGATCTTTCAATGTGAATGTGTCGCCTTAACCGAAGCAGCCAGAGCCGTGCAGCGGCTAGGAATTAATGACTTTTGCATTAAATTCGTATCCGACAGTGCATCCGTGCTGATGGCGCTCGGAAACAAAAAAAACCAACAGCAAACTAATACTGGAGTGTCATGAAGCACTGGAGGGCATAACCCGAACCAATAGGGTTACCTTGCAGTGGATTAAGGGACACAGTGGATCTCTCGGCAATGATGCTGCGGACGAGCTTGCGAGAAGAGGCTCCGGAATGATGCCTGCTGGCCCGTATCCGCTCCTTCCTTTGCCCTTCTCGCTGGTGCGAACCTGGATTCGCCAGAGATCCGCTGAACTCCAGCAACAACGATGGTCGCATGGTGCGGCCTGCAGACAGTCCAAAGTGGCTCTGCCAGCAGTAAACCCGCAACTGACAAAGCGACTACTTAACTTAAATAGAACCAACCTTAAAATAATGATAGGGACAATAACGGGTCATTGCCTCCTAAATAAACATCTTTTTATCCTAGGCGCGACAGACAGCCCCCTGTGCAGAGGCTGTTTCAGCGCAGAGGAAACAGTCACCCACGTAGTCCTGGAATGCGAGGCTGTGGCTAATCAACGTGAAAAAATCCTCGGAACGGTGAGGTCGCTCCGGGAAGCCTGTGAAGTGCCCAGGAGACTTCTGTGCTTCTGGAAGGAGCTAGGCTGGCTAAATTAGCCAGGACTCGTACGCACAACGGACCAACCACGAGTCTAATTGCGGAGAAAGGAGTCCTTCTACCCTAACCCTAACCCCATCTAATTCTTTACATAATGAAAATTTTGTCCTCTTTGCTAAAAACGATCGCACCCAGATACGCCTATTCCTTTTCTTTCTTTTTGTTTTTGATTAATAATAAAAAAAGCACTACAAGCGGCCGCAGCAAGAACAATGTCGTCCATAGCGAGCGAAAACTGAAATGCTCGTGTATGACAGTATTGCCTAGTTGATGAAGTTGCGCCATATCACTCAATATTGTATTGCGCAGTATTGATGCTTGTTGCCGTTGCCGTAAATTGCTTGATGTAGTCGTGACGTCATAATTGACGAGTATTGACTGGAATTGAGCAATTTTAGTTGCCCGTGTAAGTGCACCTTTACACAGTATTCGCTCGCTATAGACGACATTGTTCTTGCTGCGGCGGCTTGTAGCGCTTTTTTCATTATTAATAAAAAACAAAAAAGATAGAAAAGGAATAGGCGTCCAGATACGCCTATTCCTTTTCTTTCTTTTTTGTTTCGTGCGATCGTTTTTGGCAAAGAGGCCGCAATTTTCATTCTGTTAGAAAGATTAGATGATATATTATTCAAAAAATTTACTAGAATGTCACGAACAGACTTTGACTTACTTTTGAATAAATTAATTAGAAATGATTATTATATAGACCTCTCGCTCGACCCGCGGCAGCAAGACGGCAAGCCGCAAAACAAACAAGTGCGAATGTGACATATACAAAAATTTCTAGGAATTACCAAGTCCATTGGATATTCGTCAATTCGTATCTGCGACATTGAGCGATATGTAATATCTGGAGCAATTAGAAGCAATATCGCCGAAATAATTTATTGAAATTTTTTGAATTTATTGAAATTTCTCCATTAATTGCTCCAGATCGGTCCATTCGTGTCGCCGAGCAATTATTGCCCTCGTGTAAGCGCACCTTAAGGTACGATTTAGTAAATCTTTAAAGGTGATAACGACTGAATAATGGACCTATTCGACATGGACTGTTCCTTAATTAAGGTGCGCTTACACGGGCAACTAAAATTGCTCAATTCCAGTCAATACTCGTCAATTATGACGTCACGACTACATTCGCAATTTACGGCACCTTAAGATTTACGTAAAAATTGCTGAAAACTGACAGCGTATTGTTATGGGTCAAGCGATGATAGCGACATCTGCAATTAGCTTTGCGTTTTCTCCTCCATTATCTACCCTCAACTAGAGTGCGGAATAGCAACACGATTTGTTTTACTACATGTGATCTATGCTAATCTTGAGGACAAAGCTATAATAACTTTGTGAACATCGTATCCCAAAATAAAGTTTAAAAAAAAAGAAAAGCCACACGATGGTGGGTAACGCAAATTCATCGAAACAGAACAAAATTGGTAATAGTTTACTTTAATATTGATCTATTCTTTCTTTATTTTTATTATCATGTATTCATAATTAAATTACCTGTATAAAGTGTACGTACTCTTTAGTTTCAGCATGCAAAATTAGTTGGATGAACTAGTTGCAGAACCAAGCGGAGAATTTAAAAAGTTAACTAGGATGTCAACCGTTGATTTTGAGCCGCCATTTTACACCACTAATTTGCAAACCGATACCCACCTCTGAAAAGCAGTACCAGCTCGTACGCGTTTTCCTAAGAATACTCAATACTTGGCCTAAAGGTCTAGATACCAATTACCAGGCCTTTAACTCCAAAAAAAAAAAAAATTAAACGAAGCGTTAGACTCGTTTTGTTTGTAAATCAATATTATAAACCAAAGTTTTTCAAGGCAATGCTTGCTTATACTAGTGCTGGTATACCTGATAAATCTTGGCAACCTCCTGTTGCAATTTTAGAAACAACGTAAGAAAGAGTAAATCTTATGTTTACCTTATAGTATCAATTACTATATAACTTTAAACTTAGACCATAGTATAAAATTAAACGTATAACACAATAATGTTCTTTCAATATCATCTTCACGCTGTATGTTACAAGCGTCCTTCAATTCTATTAATGCTATTTATTTTTCAGAATGGGTACTATAATCGTAGAAATGTATTGGAATCACACACCATTAACATGCAGAAATTTTATGGAATTAATAAGAAGAGGTTATTATAACAACACCAAGTTTCATAGAATTATTAGAGATTTTATGATCCAGGGAGGTGACCCATCAGGCACGGGAAAAGGGGGTCAATCAATATATGGCCCACAGTTTAATGATGAAATTATATCAGACTTAAAGCACACTGGTGCTGGAATCTTGTCTATGGCAAATGCAGGCCCTAATACAAACGGCTCTCAATTCTTTATAACATTAGCACCAACGCAATGGCTAGATGGTAAACATACAATATTTGGCAGAGTACAAAGTGGAATGTCCATTATAAAAAGAATAGGCTTGGTGGAATGTGACAAGAATGATTATCCCGTAGATGTTGTACGCATAGAACGAGCTTATATACCTAAGTGATTATTGTCTTTAATCTGTTATTAATAAATTATAATATAATCTTACATGTTTTATCTATTTGTAAATTCATGAGATTTATAATAATATTAAAAATTTATCTCTGGCGTAATATAGTTAAGTTTTGTGGTATATTGGAAAGTAGTTATATTTTGCGAATTGTAACCACTAAATTAAATTAGAAAATGTCCCACATTATTTTTTTAAATATTATTATTAAGCTTTATTTAATTTTTTTAAATATATTATACAAAAATTATTCAGTTTGGTAAGTGAGGAAATTTACTTAGCACTGCTCAGACATGGTTTTAATAATTTTGTGAATTAAAATAGCCACAGAAATTAAGAGAGTACTAGAAATGCCACTGCTACAAAGTTGTCTTGTATTAAAGTTCCTTCAGCTTATTTTACACAGTAGGCATAATTTCAGCAATGATACCTAATTAATGTTAAATACCAACAAATGTGATGTGGAGAATTGCAGAACTCAAATCAAAAAGTAAAAATTTGTACTTCTGAAATAATATAACAAGTATCTAAGATTTTTGTTTTTGTATTTCTTATGACAGAAAAATGAAAAATGTGAATCTTAATGGACAATTAACATTGTTGATTTGATTACTTTAGTACCTATTTATTTTATTTTTTTATTTGTTTTATTTTAAGCCTTATCTTATTACCTAATACAAAAATATCTAATCATCTCATGTGTTAGTGAATATCTTTTACAGTTAGTAAGTATTAGGAACCCTCTCTGGTAAAGGCCTCCTCCAAGGCTTGCCATCTTTCTCTATCCCGAGCTATTTGGACCCAATGTCATTATGGGATGTGCTATCTTGTTATAAATCACAACCCATTTTTATCTTTGTGAATTGACTTATTCTTTACAAACAACAGTAATTAATTTATATTAACATAGAAACGCTCAAGGAAAAAACATGAATATTCTCTCGTCTTTAGTCTGTTCTGAGTGACATCCGCTTTCTTCTTTTCTTAGTGTCCTATCTTTATGTTAACACATTTATCAAAATCTTATAGAAAATACTACACAAAAGAGTATGTACATTTTTAGTGCGTAGGTATCTACTATCTATCTTAACACCAAGGGAGGTACAAAGAACCATACAACAAATGGAGAATAGGAAGGCACCAGGTTTTGACCTCATTGAGTATTGACAAAAATTTTCTCTCCGAATTACCTCGTAAGGCTATAACTTACTTGACGACCCTATTCAACCGGATTATAAGTGTTGGATACTTTCCAGCGCTATGGAAGGTCTCTCAGGTGATTATGGTCCATAAGCCCGGGAAAGCGCCACATGACGTATCATCTTACCGACCTATAAGTCTTCTCCCGATCGTCTCTAAAGTACTGGAGAAGGTACTACTACGACGGCTCTCGCAAGCTATGCATGAAAATTCTATAATTCCAGATCACCAATTCGGGTTTAGAGCACAACACGGCACTATCGAACAAACTCACAGGGTGTGTAAATTCATAAGCAATAGCCTTGAGCTGAAAGAGTACTGCTCCTCAGCTTTTCTGGACGTTCAACAAGCATTCGATCGGGTATGGCACAAGGGGCTCTTGTGCAAGATCAAGTCACTTCTGCCTCATACTTTCTATGGAATCCTAGAGTCTTATATCACCGATAGAATATTCCAAGTGAAAGAGATGGATTGTACATCAGGTTTTCATGGAGGAACCCCTGCAAGTATTTGCAGGGGTTCCTCAAGGCTCTGTACTTGGCCCAGTTCTGTACACCATATTTACCTCAGATCTACCGCGTACCTCTGAAGTCAACATTGCAACCTATGCAGACGATACGGCAATCCTAGCTTCGAGTAAACAACCCGAAGAAGCCACGTTAAAGCTGCAGCGAAGCCTAAATGAAATAAGCAACTGGTTCGATAGGTGGAGAACTAGGGTGAACACTAGCAAATCAGTACAAGTGACATTCACACTGCGAAGAAAGACATGCCCCCCTGTAAACCTAGGAGGAAAGGAACTGCCTCAGAGTTAAATATCTTGGACTGCACTTGGATCGTAGATTGACATGGCAAAAACACATCGAAACAAAACGGCGTGAGATCAACATTAAATATAAGAGGCTGTACTGGTTACTGTGTAGAAACTCGAAATTGTCCATTGACAACAAACTCCTTATCTACAATTCAGTTATAAAACCCGTGTGGACCTACGGGATACAATTGTGGGGAGCTACATGTGACTATTACAAAACTAAAATTCAAATAACACATAACTACATCCTTAAACAAATAAGCAACGCGCCTTGGTTCATAAGAAACGCCGAAGTACATGAACACCTGGGCATACCTACAGTCAAGGAGGAAATAAAAGTATACGCTCAGAAGTACAAGACTAGGCTGGAAAATCATCCTAACCATCTAGCTGTTCAACTCACCCTACCGGAGTATATAAACCGACTCAAAAGACGAAGAACCCTGGAGCTCAGCAGCATTGACTGAGCTTATATTATTATGGTAGATATTCCTAATGAGGAATATCTCCACCCGCAAATCATCCTACAACTCATCTGCTCATAGTCAGAAGACTGATTGCACGATGCGCTCTATTAAAAAAAATCTACTATCTACGTATTCATCCCATCGAGCGTAGGGTCTTCCTCTGTATCGTTTGCCTGGAGGGCCACTCCATGTAGTTACTGTTTTCGTCCACCTATGGTATTTGATTATCTTAGTAACCATTTAAACTACACAAGCGCTGAAATTCGTGGTTTGAAACTTCAGAGGTAAGCAAATCTCATTATCAAACTAATCAAAACAGCAGGATAAGTAGGTAGGTATACATACTTGGACTAGCCTATAAATTACCCAAAAGTTTTAGGTTAGTCAGCCAGGGCAGTTGTGTTTGTTGTTTAATTACTTACGCCGTTATTTTCAACAATAAAGGGTAAAGCTTATTGCTGCACATTTACTTGTAAACACAAAAAATAATACTAAACATTGAGTGTCATGATTGTGCTGCTCAACTGGGAGGTTGTAAGCAAAGTGTAGCATTTCTTATGTGGCTTCACAGACAAAGCGAGGAACCATCCCCAACAGAAAAAAAATGTTATTGGGCTAAGATATACTTTTAAATAGACAGTCCTGCAAATTGACAATACCACAGGCTATTGCCACTATATCATCTAATAGTTGAATATAATAAATGTTGACAGTTGCATGAGGTCCAACCATTTGAAAATCTTCCAATGCTTCTTTCAACATGTACCCTCAACGCAGCAATCTTCTTTGTTTGCAACACTTCCTCTTTTTTGGGTTTTGAGCTTGAACCCACACTAGGTGGTCTTAAAATCTTACACTGTTTTTGTTCTAATAAATGGGCTATATTTTTGAATCCTCTGACCGCCAAAACCAAACTCCCAGGTGTGAGTTCACACAGTCTTCAAAGATCGTGGAATCTGGGGTCCGCCCTCCCTTTAATGCCTGGTGTGTGGCATTACACTGTACTTGGTTTTTGAATTTGCACCACGAAACAATCAATTATTGAGGTCACTTTTACTAAGTTACTGTTTACCACATGAGTAATGATGATAATAGTTGGTATATGGAGCTACTTACATCAAAATGATCCTCGCAACAATATCTTACAGTATGGCACGAAAGCGGAACTTTGTAATCCTTCTTCATGACAGTACACCATTTTTTGCGCACTTTTAGGTCCCTTGGCACATTAAAAAACAGTTTTTCAGGTGTACTAGTTGAAGTATTAGTACATTTCGGTACTATACAGTACTCATAATGCGGCATATTTTCACATTAAATCAACAAAACCACAACACGACCCGCGCAGATCGAGTAAACTTTAATAAATGAATGGCGGAGAGCGAGAGCGCGGGCGGTAGGGATCTCGTGACGTCACATGAGTATTTCGGCTGCCCCGCGGTTGGCTTGTACAAAATGTGTAATATCTTCGCAACCAATTTACCGATTTCGAGTTTGAGTTTGAGTTTGACCCATTGTATTGTCGAAAACGCTTCGTTCGTAGCCAAGAGGCATGTAACTACACTACCGCACAGTCGACAGCGTAGATGCGAGTTGTTGTTCGTAGCACCTTATTCCGTCCTATTGTATCTGGATTAAATGTATTCCTAATGTCACATTTATAAACCGAATAAAAGTTAAAACTCATATTTGTGTTGTCTATGCCTATATTGTCTTAAAACTAACAATCGAATTTCAACTTTTTTTAAATATTATTTTCACCGATCAATCTCCTTCGTGCATTCTCCATCTACACGACACTGGCGAAGTACCTTGTGCCCAGTTGGCACAAATAAAAACCATTTTTTAAAAAAACGTTAAAACTGTACAACATTATTGTAAATTTGCAATAGGAAGCTGCAGAAGGGACATTACAATGTGAGCAAGGTCGGAACACTTTTTCCATTTAAGTGGAATTTACTTATTGCATGTTAAAATTAGTTATAGTTTGATTCATGTTCTCTCAGAAATGTAAGGCTATAAATAAATACAATATTTTTGAATTGTATAATCGCGATATACAAAAATTAGTAGTACTCATACGTTCATATTTTTAGGATTGACCTCACAACTAATCTGCAACATGAAGAAGCAACATATTTTGTTAGGTACCGCTTTGAAGAAACAATAGAAATAGTACTGCGGATTGATAAATGAAGAGTGAAAAGAATTAGTTAATTAATTAATTAGAATTAGCAGTTGATAAAGTCCAAGAAATTAAAAAAAAATAAAAATGTGTGCGTGTACTAGGTGTACACACGTAAGAAGTGAAACTTCTTTATGACCTTATTAGAAACTATTTCTTTAAACACAGTAAATTTTGATACACTGCCTAGCATACAATTTACAAATTAATTGCTGCAAATTGCGATTAGCAAATTTCAAGTCGAAAATGTAATCCGTTGTCAAACTTCAAAGTCAAAAACATACTAGGTATATGTCATATTTTAACGCCGATAAAGAAGTTTGACTTCAAAAAGCAACATGGCGCGTAACGGAAAAATGTGACGCGTAACGCAAAAATGTTACACTAAATTTTTTTCCAACCCCGATAAAGAAGTTTTACTTCAAAAACGCAGACTAGTCTGAACACTGAAATTAAAGTTTGATTTATGCTTTAATTAGGTTTGGTGTTTGTGCTTGAACATTTTTAATGTCAATTTGAAAGCAGATTTATAGTTGGAATTATCTCTGTTTATGTCCAACAAACAATTTTAGTTTAAGTTAGAGTCATAAAGGTTGATTGTTTATAATAAATTTATACTTTTAGAAAGTGAGAATTGAAAAGCAGCAAGTACTCAATGAAATGGAAAGAGGGATTAATAAAAATTATAAAATGGAAACTTAGTCTGGTATGAAATTATAAGCCTTACTCAACCTTTGATTCCATATTGATGCTCCAACATCTTAGATATAAATTTAAGTTTGATGTTGATTTTAAGTTAATATTTATGTCAATTAACTTTTGGTTATATCAGTGACTTGCTACTAGTTAATATGTAAATGCAAAATCTGTATAAATGAGAAGTGAATAAACATTGTATGTTATGTATTTGTCAGTTTTATTTTTGGTAATTTACCTATGTCTTCTTTAGTAGGAAAAGCCATTAAAGTGGTTAACAATATTAGTTTATTTGAATGACCCGTACCTACTAATAGTTTGGAATATTAAACAAATAGGTAGCAAAATAAAAATGTTTCAGTTATGGTTATTTTTTATTAAAATAAGGCACCAAATATCTTCCTTAACATAATGCAGTCTACATAGAAAAATAAGCAGATGTAACAACTTATTAAACAATACAGACATTACTACTGAACTCACACAGGTGTACCAAATTCAATGCATTACTACCTAATGTAGATGTATTCAATTATTCATATTTATATATGTAGATAATTAACTAATAAATGTAAGTGTTAATTTGCAGCAAAGTCAATATCTTGTTTGTGTGCAATATACAAAAAATTGTTCAATTCATAAAACCTAACGTTAGATGTTGTGATGATTTCATAAAATTACTATGATACCTACAGTTACTATGAATACATCCTGGGCGATTAAAAAAACAGTGATTGTTTCCTTAACACAACAATTGTAAATAATAATAGTTATTTTAAAGATATAATTCTTCCCAAAATCTACAAATCCAGTTTGTTTATAATAATATCTCATTAACATTCAAACTACTGAACTTATTAAGATTAAATGTGGAAGAACATAGTTTCAGTTACTGTTTCCTGTTCATGAGGTAATGTTACTTAACCAACCATTATTTCATACTCTACTTGTCTTATTTTTTACATTATTCATAAAATGCTTCATTCCCCATTATCAAATTCATTTTCAGGTACATAACACTTAAATTAATTAAAAGATAAGACTTTAATAAATCTTGTCCATTTGTGGTTTATTTAAATATTTTTAGTTGTCTTATTAGCTTCTCTTTTTCTGAAAAGAAAATATTTTAGTTAGTACTTTGATCAAATAGAAAACTGACAAACTAAACTAAGATCGGTCCAAGGTTTGTTCAATAGGTAACTTTAATATTAAAACTCTTTACTTAAAAATATACTTAATTTGTCACTTTACTGCTTATTGTCAATTAAAGTTTTTAATAACCAAACAATGTCAGTAACTCCCAAGGGACTTGAATTCAAACTTCTCATTCATTAACAATATTATAATAACTTCTCTAGTATATTGACTTAGTAAATAATTAAAGAAAATATCTGCTTACCATTACTTAGTATTGCTCACTAGATTTTATATTTCCAAAGTTCATAAAGTATAAATCCACTTTATTTGATTAATTTAAATCAATATTATATCATTATCAGCTTCTATTATAATTACAATAAAATATATTTAGAACTTCTAGTTATGTTCATTAGTGACTGCTTTCTCATCTGAAATATACAAATAAAATGTTCAATCATTTTACTTTGTGATTACATAATATATGCAATATTATATGGTATATGTATTTTTCAAATTAAAGAACAATTTCATGAACTTACATGCAATAAAAGATATCCAATATAACTAGGATTTACCTCTACTAATTTACTGATTTTCTTGATATTTTCATATTTATCTGTGTCTATTATGTTATCCTCGCATTGATTCATAGAAAAACTAAAACTCTTAACTTAAAAATATTAACTCTAGTTTAAATTATTATAATTACACGAGAACGTAAAAAAGACAGATAACAAATTAAAACCATTTCGTTAAAACGTCCAAAATATGACATGTTTTTAAAACGGTAGCCATTAAAGATGGCAATAGTTGTACTGAATTATTGCAAACAGCAGCTTTTGAGATCACGCTAAAACATGGCGGAGAAACGCCGTTTTTTCTACACTGCCGAAACATTAATTGGCCGTTGGCTACCGAATAGCGTAAGCGTTAATGTGTGTCTTTTCGTAGCACTGTCATGGCGTCGCTTATTGTATCCCAACACACGCCTTTAGGGCCTAGGCTACCGACTGTCGACACGAGCTGTAATTTTCATACAAATTTAGTTTTCGACTTTCTAAATACACTACTGTTAAGCCATCTTGGCTAGACCCCCTGTTCTTTTCAGAACACATGACCGTATCTATTCTGATATGTTCTTGTCAGAACACATCACTGTTTCATTACGACACGTTAATCAATCACCTACATTCACTTTGCACCTTCCGTAAATTCCACTTAAATCGAAAATTGTTCCGACTTGCTGACATTCTAATGTCCCTTTTGCAGCTTCCAATAATTGGAATTTGCAATGATTGCAAATTTACAATAATATCGTATTGTTAACTTTTATTTGTTTATAAAAGTGACATTAGGAATACATTTAATTCAGAGACAATATGACGGAATAAGGTGCTACGAACAGCAGCTCGCATCTACGTTGTCGACTTTGCGGTAATGTATCGACATGCCTCTTGGCTACGAACGAAGCGTTTTCGACAATACAATTACGCAAAAGCGGTAGTGTATGTAGAATACTTTTCGACACCAATATGGCTAGACCCCCTGTTAAGCCATCTTGACTAGATCCCCTCGTAACGAGACCGTTAACCTTTTCTATTTTTATTAATCACTTTCTCTAAGACATTAAAATTTGTAGTCTGTGGATTGAAGTGCGGGTGCATTCTGCTGAAGCAGTGCGTTTCTCTAGTCTGTGACCTATGCTGTGCGCAGTGTTGCCAGCTGCACCATAATTACGGTAAAAACACCGTAATCAGCAAAGATCTACCACCTGCCGTACGAAAGTAATTAGGGTAGGAAAATACACCGTAATACCCGTTAAACTCGTATTTTTTATTATTGTTATTAATTATTATTATTACCTTTTAACTAAAATCATTTTAGCTAGTTTAAATGTTTATTTCATAATAAGAATAATAAGAATAATTTTATTTTCTCCCATATAACATTCAACAAACAATAAGACAATAGTTGAAAAGGCATTGGGAGACTGGTTTCCAAACTAGGCAAGAACCTGTGATATGGATAACCAGGCTTCCATTCCACAGCAAAGTCATATTAAGTCATCAACACGATTTATCTTTGGGGAACCCATCAATATTGATAGCGTGATTCCAGCTGGAAAATATTACGAGAACGAATTCGGAGGAGATGTATGTATTTGAATTTCGATGAAAACTTATCTTTTTAATTTACCTAAGTTATTTTTTTCTGAATCGAAAACGACTAACATTTATTTATACATATCAGTACGTCTTAAGTGTTTGTTTTGTGATCTGATTTTTGAAGTGAAACTTCTTTAGGCGTAAAAGGGGAAATTTATTACGGAACGTCACGAATATGTGTAGCATTTTTGTAGAAGAAAAGAGAGACCGATTGAGAGAGAGAAGGGTGAATTAAAGAAATTATAATACGACACTTTTAATGACAATTAAATTCCTAACATATCTTCCATTTTCCCTCCCTCTAAGTCTCGGAAATCTAAAGTTTTAGATTTGTAAAAATATAAACAAGAGTTAAAATTAGTTTGCTAAAGAAGTTCCACTTCTGATATATTGTGTACTTTGTACGCACGCACTTTTTTATTTTTAAAATATGGGCATAGGCCTTACAGTGACATAGAAAAAACTGTATTAAATTGAATCCAACTCCCTCTATGATTGAAAAACATAATATTGATATTTATAAAAATATTGAAACAATTATACTGTCTTATTCTGATAAAAAAATATGTCTTATTTATCAATTCTGACTCTTAACACACTACAAAATAAATAAGGAAATTCTACCGTATTTCAAATATAAATTACAACATAATTTCGGAAAATCTACCGTATTTTTAGAAACATTCTACCATTCGCTAGGTTTCAGAGTTGGCAACACTGTGCATACCGTTTGCAGAGGCCATGATGTATCACGTTTTTCCAAGCACCTAGTTCATCGTGTCCGTTGGGCTTACGGAAAATATTGAAAATTAAGGTGTAAAAGCGGCAAAAACTGATCAACGTGACGAGATGAATTCGAGAGAGACACAAGAAGCATCGGGTAAATCGCAGGCGCCTAAAAGAGTAAGTTGACAGTATATACTATATTCCCGCTCAGTTCGAGTTTTTTTCAGATATCAGATTCACGCGTAGTATCACAATTCTACATAATGATTTCAGAATTATTTTGAAAGCAATGCATAGCGAACGTATTCCAATTATATTTATATGTAATGCACCTTTTGAACCATTTTTATATATTATAACATGTGTAACATTGTAATGAAGTCTGTCTAATCACTTCTTACTTACCGAATATTGTTGCTAGATCACGTTGTGACCGTCTACATGATCTAATCAGTAAAATACATTATAGAAACTACCCACATATATCATATATGTAAAACAAGTAAGAGGAGGTATTATCAACCATAGTTTAAGAATAGCGTAAGTGAACTAAAATAACGGGTATATATAAAAAGAAAGAGATAAATCCGTAAATGTTCTTCAACTAGGGATCTCATTTAGGACATTTTCTTTAAAAAAATTACACATGAGGGTATTTGAAAATACTTTATGTAAAATATTAACATGCGGTGACATACAACTGTAACACAATTGTACTTTACAATAAAATTGTGTTACAGTTTTAAAATTATTAATTATAAAAATAAAATAAAATAGCCTTTATTACTGTAAGTTTTAAAGTTAGTATATATAAATTAAAATTATAAAATATCCCTAATTACAGTGTGCCTTTCGGCAAAGGCCTCCTCCAATTCTTTCCACTGTGTTCTGTCCAAGGCGATTCTCCACCAGTTTGGACCTGCTGTCAGTTTTAGTTCGTCTTCCCATCGTCTGTATTGACGTCCTCTACTTCTTTTGCCGTTTCGTGGATACCAGTGTGTGACAATGTTGCTCCATTTGTTCTTTGAAGAAGAAGAAGAACGCATCAAATGTCCTGTCCACCTCCATTTTTGTTGGTCTATTCTGATCAGTAGTCGGTTAGTTTTGTCTTACGCCGTATGTCGGTGTTTCGAATTTTGTCTTTCCTCTTGATGCTGAGCATACTTCTTTCAACTGCATGTTGGAATGTTGTCAGTTTTTTCCTGTGTAACTGTGTAAGGGACCAAGTCTCACATCCGTATGTAACACAGGGCAGTATACAGATATTAAATACTTTTTCTTTAGACCTATATTCATAGCCTTGCTCTTCATTATTTCTTTCATTGCCCAGTATTTTCTCCAGCCATTAGCAATTCTTTTGTGTATTTCTTTACACATTTGGTCTTCGTGAGAGATTATTTGTAAACTAAGTAAACATATTCTTCTACATACTCTAATATCTTTCCATTCACTTTAATTTCTGTCTTGATAGAGTTTGTCATCACCTTAGTTTTTTCTGTATTCATGGTTAGTCCAGCTTTGATACTTTCATTTGTAAGCATTTCAATCAAAACCTGCAATTTTTTTGGGTTTTCTTCAAAAAGAATCAGATCATCCGCAAAGCGAAGATGGCTAAGTAATCTTCCATTAATATTAAACCGACTTGATCCCAGCTGATATTTCGGAAAATGCCTTCCAAAGCAACTAGGAACATTTTCGGGGAGATAGGATAGATTTAAATACACATTATTTATTCCCATTTGTTGTAGGCATTTCCACATATAGTTGTGATTAAGGCTATCAAAGGCTTTATTGTAATCTATGAAGACGGTGTATAGTGGTAGATTGTATTCTCTGTATTTTTCCATTATTTGTTTAACGGTATGAATATGATCTAAAGTGGAGTAATTGGTTCTAAAGCCTGCTTGTTCTTCTGGCTGATTTTCATCAATCTTTTTACATATCCTGTTGAGAAGTACCTTTGCAAATATTTTATAGATATTAGACATAAGGCTGATGGGTCTGTAGTTATTGACATCCTCTTTAGAGCCTTTTTTATGGATCAATATTATATGCGATATGTTCCATTGTTGTGGGATGATGCCTGTGTTAACTATTTTGTTGAAGATATCTGTTAATAGTGGGCTTATCTCTTCTATGGTACCTTTTAGTAGTTCATTGTATATCATGTCTGGCCCAGAAGCTTTATCCAGTTTTTGACTTCTTATTGCTTTTTCCACTTCGCACTGTAGTATATCAGGTTCTTTGTCTTGTGTGCTATATGCTGAAGGGTTAATCACTTTGTTTTTGTTGTTTGCATTTGTCTCATAGTTTATTTGTTTACTTTGATCGGAATAAAGTGTCTTATAAAAGTCTGTTGTTGTCTCTAGAATGTCCTTCCTTTGAGTAAAACTCTTTTCTGCTTTCTTCAATTTTGGAATCCAGTCATTTTTCTCTCGTAGTACTTTCAGAGCCTTTCTTGTGCTACCAGATTTTTCTATGTAATGTTCCAACGTTCTTAGTCTCTTAGATCTTTGGTCATTCCTTATATGCTCTCGTACTTGTTTGCTTAGTTTATTAATTTTTCTTAAATTTCCTTTCTTGTCTTCTTGTATCATTTCTTTTCATTCTGCAAGTAGTTTTAGTGTTTTGTCACTGAGTTTTTTTTATTTATTTTTTCCATTTTGTTGAAAACACTCAATAAACAACTATAAATAGTATGTGTAACGCAAGAACTCATCAGTACCAATCTAGTGGATATTATGAAAAAGAACCAGGATGTAGATTTTTTTCGAATTTTATTAAGAATTAGTAAAAAAAAGTAAATTTTCTTATAAAACACAAAATATATTATAACTCTGCAGGGGTTGAGCTTAGAGACCTCCCGTAGAACAATTTTTTGCAGCTGATGACCTCATCTATCCCCTATTTGCGTTTGATCCACGACTTTTTCGCCACCCTGTATTTACTATGATGTATCAAAAAGACAATAATTTACAACATAAATATTCTAGCTGAGTTAGACTCTAAAGTAATAATCTATTCAACAAGTTCATGCTTGTGTATTATAAGCAAGATTTATAATTTTTATCCTGTTAGTGTGATAGCTTTCTTCCAAATTCTATTTAAATTAACCTTTGCAAACATCATTCTAAAACAGAAGCAAAACATTCTGATAGCATGGTTGTAAACATACTAATTTTAAAATGCATTTTTACAGACATTGGCAAAACGTATTGCTGACATAATACCATCATCTATAACCAAATGGTTCAAAAACCTACAATCATCTGAACAATCATCACCTGAACAATCATCACCTGAACAATCATCACCTGATTCTGGTTGTTTAGGAGAACCTGAACCTAAACGAAGGCGACTTAGCGAAGATCCAAATAAATATTTACCAACAACAGTAAGTACATTTGAACTTAGAAATTCAGTTCATAAAGTCATATATAAGATTGTTTTATTTTTCCCTTCATGAATATGTCAGGTCAATGCTACAATAATTTCACTTCACTATAAATATGTATTGAATACATTAAAAAATATAATGTGTAAGTTTTTTTTGACATGAGCAATACTTAATTATATTTTTTTATGTACTATTATCATTTCTGTGAAATCCAGAGAAATATCAAGATTTTTTAAAATTTTATTATTATTTGAAGTTAAAACATATTATTATTGTTACAATTATGGGTTGACTGAAATGCTTCTCAATTTAGAAACGCTTTCAGTTAACAACTTGGTATCTGACCGTTTCAGGAGAGGGTCAATCACATTGTATTTGAAAATTGTAATTTGCATAATTTTGTAGTTGTTTTCAGGAGGCTGCAATATTTTTTAGGTTGTTTCAGTGCAGGTGTAGTCGAGTGGTACAGTTTTCAGGACACTCGTTTTCAGGCGTTTTTTGCCTGAATTTCGCGGTATGTCACATGTCGATCTTCCTCAATCAGCTTACGCAGAGCATCAACGTTTTCTTGGGTGACTGCAGTTTTTGGACGACCTTGACGGGGATCATCACTGAGCTTGACACGTCCACGTTGAAATTCAGCAAACCAGCAATAAATTGTGGTTTTGGATGGGGCTTCATCACCTAATGTCCGGTCATCATCCGGTCAACACACTGTTTTTGTGATAAACCACTTCGAAAGTCATATTTTGTTATATAATATTAGGGATATTATATCGAGCGAGCCCAGGCGATCAGGGAATTTAGTTTCCAATACGATTCCAAGACATTAACATTGAAGACAAGTGATAAAGTGAAGTCGGTCAAGATTATTTCCAGGGATATTATATATCGAGCGAGCCGAAACGCGACCAATTCAGTTTCGAATACGATTCCAAGACATTAACATTGAAGACAAGTGATAAAGTTCGAATAGTGAAGTCGGTCAAGATTATTCCCAGGGATATTATACACTCGGCGTCAAAAAAATCGCACCTTTCTTAAAATTCGTGTCAAGCGATTATAACTCCTAAGATCCGTCCTGTGCCCTATCATTATTATATTAGTATCATTTAAAAGCTCAATTAATAAGCTATCAAAAAAATAATTATTTGTTAACGGAAAATCAAAAACCACAAATCGCCAGCACTGATTAAAAAGTGGCAATGTACGCGTTTGGAGGCTCACTAATTGTACCACCTTGGATTCGCTATCCAGACGTCACAGAGGTTATGCCTGAAGAGCTCCGACGAAAAAACCCAGTGAAAATGGATACCAGGGCAGAAGAAGCAGCTCAAGTGGTGACCCTACTGCAAACCGGACTACGGCAGGTTGAAGTTGCTCGGCAACTGAACGTCAGTCGATTTCGAGTGCAACGAGTATACCGACGATTCCAAGAGACTGGAGGTTACATCAGGCGACATGGATCCGGGAGACGTCGCTGCACTACCGTCAGAGATGATCGCTACATTGTGTCGACGTCTTTGCGGAACCGCTTCTCCATCGCTGTGGAGCTGTAGCAGTGGCTTCGCGCTACTCGAAAGACAGCAGTCAGCGTCTCCACTATCAGAAGAAGGCTACGAGAGAAGAATTTGCTGCCCCGTTGAGCTGCTACAGGCCCCCAATTGACTGCCATCCACCGGACAAGCAGCAAGCGATTTTCTGAAACGCACGTGCCGTGGACATTCGACCAGTGGAGGAATGTCCTTTTTTTCGACGAAACCCGAGTGTGCCTGTACACCAACAACATGCGTAAGAGAGTCTACAGGCGACCAGGGGAGCGTTTCACACCAGCCTGCACCGTAGAAACCGTCGGCTATGGAGGACGATCCTGCATGGTCTAGGGCGGCAACTCTATCGACGGCAAGACAGACCTCGTGTGCGTCTCCAGAGCTGGAGGTGGTCGCGGCCAGGGGTCTCTGACTGCTCACCGGTACATCACCGAGATTTTGGAGGAGCATGTGGTCCCATATGCTGGTTTTGTTTGCTGTTTGCTGCATATGTTTGGCGCCAACTTCGAGTTCATGCACGACAACGCCCGGTGTCTCACACAGCCTTGATTGTAAAGGACTACCTACGTCGAGTTGGCATCATGGTTATTAACTGGCCAGCAAGAAGCCCCGACCCTATCGAGCACCTCTGGATCGAGCTGAAACGGCGAGCTCGGGCCCGTGACGCCGAGTGTATATCGAGCGAGCCGAAACGTGACCAATTCAGATTCGAATACGATTCCAAGACATTAACATTGAAGACAAGTGATAAAGTAGTGTGTGAAGTGCGCGAAGATGAACTAATAGTGACAGTATTTTGTGTGCCATAATTAGTGTATTTCTGCGCGTAATTTGTAATTGTTTTTAAGTATAATTAAATTCCTCGTTGATTTATGTATTTACGTTTTCTATCCTCTATTCTATCTCGTAACATTATTTTATACGGTGTAAAGCTGGATTTACCATGTTTCTTCGTCTTTCGGTCTGAAGATCCGAAAAAGGTTCCATCTCCATTATAAGTTTAAGCTGTTTCGTTTTGTTGTTATTATTACTATTAACGGTTTCAATAAGTAAAAGACGAAACAACATTTATAATCAAACTATAAACCAATGTTTCTGACTTTTGTGTTTGGCGACTGCCTGACAGACTGCCTGTGTACACCGAAGATCTATTTTTCAAATTAAGCATCAATTTATATACATACAAACAATATATGATTAAGATAGTATATTTTAAATTTCTGGTTCACACACAAATGTGTGAGTTCTAAAAGGCCCACCACGATTTTCTGATCGTGCACCACACTAGCACGATCAGAAAATGCGACGTCCAACTCTTTATTGCGCTCTCTCAATCTGCTTTAATTTTTTTTATCGGAGGTAGTGCACCTCTTTATATTGTATTCCATTCAAACGTTCTTTTTTCTTTGTTATAGGCTTGTGCTAGTACAAACACAGATTCTTTATATTCTCAAAGGTTAACACAAAAACGTAAAAGCGAAGATTTGTTAAATGCAAATGCAATTAAATCACCAGAGGACGCAGTAAATCGGGTGTCATTTATTTTGAAAAGCTCATTGCGTGCAGAGGATGATCCGAAGACAAAAGAAACTTATGTAGATCACAACAGAACGCCAGGTAGTGGAGTGTATTTGTATTATGTGTTGTCTAGTTTCCACAAAATTATACAATATTTTTTATAATGGATGTTTATTTCTGGATGTGGCTTCTAACATCTTGCCCGCGAAAGATAGGTCTCTTTATGGCAAACTTTCCTTTGATATCAACGAAGCTTCAGGTACCTAGCGGCAATTTAAATTTTATAGTCTCTACGAGGTGTTGGAGTTTTCCTGTTCTGCTTATTTTTACTATATGAGGAATATTTATTTATTTTTCCTCCCTTAACAGCTAAAGCCTAAATCTTCATCCAAAACACTTAAATACATACAAGTATTTATTTTAGTTTTCATTGTACTTTAACATTAAAGAACCTTCAAAAGCATTAGTATATAATATTATAGTAGTTCCAATAGTAATAGATAATAAGAAAATAATTTTATTATTCCCAGGATCGCCTTTCTATCCAGGTAATACAACGTATGGCGGAGCATCCAACCATTTGTCTCAATATACAATTAAAAAGAGAAATGATTTTATAATGAGTGGACGATCTAAAAGAATCATGAATGTATTTGAGAACTACTCATCTCCATTAGAAGAAGTTAGAAGGATATCGCAATTTGTCAGCAACGAAAATAATAACAATTTATCTACCGCCATGTCTAACGACACTTCTAAACATATTGGTGAGTTTTTATTTAGTGGTTTTTATTGCAATTATCTTTAAGTTAATACATTTTAAATATTATATTTCTTCATTTACAGCTACAAGAAGTCAAGAACTACATGTGCCAAGCATTGCTAGCATATTAAGTTTAAAAAAGAAACCTGGTCTGATGGCTAGCACAAGCACTGCTAGACAATTACTGGCATCACAGAGTAGTGCCACTAAGCATTCGCCATATGGTGTATATAAAAAGTTAGTATATGAGACGTGTTTACGTTCAAACGTTAACGTTTTACTTAGAGTTCTATTATTAATAAAATTGAGTTATTATTAAATATATTTGAACTTTTTCAGTTCGGATTCAGTAAAACAACGTCTTCATAACTCGAATCGAAAGGAAAGGCGTGCGCCTACATCGTCGTTGCCAACGGCGTCGACACCCAATTCTTTGAAAATAAATATAGGAAATTTACACAACATGACATTCACCACATCAACAGCAAAAGTTACGAATATTTCACAATCTCCAAAGAATATTGAAGAATTGCAGAAAGAAAACTCTAGTTTTCAATTTCCTAATGCTGCAGATGCACATAGTAATACTACTGAAAATGATTGTCGCGTCACTGTTGATAGCAGTAATACAAATATAGACACAACCATGACAGATGATGATGATATGTGTAAAAATACACCATCCAGCGTAATGACAACAGAATGTCGTAGTGATGAAGAAGAAAACGGTACAGAAGATCCTTGTGTACCAAACAGAACGAATTCATTACTGTGGACATGTGAAGATTGCTGGATTAAAAATAATATGAGCATTAGTATATGTGTATGTTGTGGCGGAAAAAAACCCCAAAACAAAGGCGATACTAATAAAACTTCAAGGCCAGCTGATAATATTACATATGCAACATTAAATAGTAAAGAAGCAGAAGTCCAAAACAGTCAAGATGAGAACTGGGAATGTAACGTTTGCCTAGTAAGAAATGATAAACGTAACAGCAAATGCGTGTGCTGTGAAGTAGAGAAACCAGGGACGAAGAAATCACCATTAACATTTAATTTTTGTTTGCCTGTTACTACACAATTTAAGTTTGGAATTAATTTAGGTAACACAACCCAACAACCTACTAAAGACATTGTAAAAGAAGTCCCAGACACAAACAACTTTTCATTTGGGCTACCTCCCATCAATTCAGTAGGTGACGGTTTAGGCAAAAATGTAGGAGAATCTAATGAAAGGACCATCATTTTGGAAGAAGAAAGAGGTGCAGATCAGCAAGTGTTTGTATTGAAGTCACCAGTTACCGTAGATACAACATATGACCTACAAACGACAGAACCAAGTCGAAAACAAAATTCTACAAAGGTACCCTCGGCTTTGCCAAATACTGGACAGGGGCGAAACACTGCTAATTTTAATATGCTATCCCCAATAGAGGAAGATTTAAACGAATCTTCGAACCCAGGTAGTACAAGTAACACACAAAATTTATCTTCTCAAAATAATACATTACAGCAGAACCAATCAAGTAATGCTGGAACTTTTGGGGCTTCTTCCTTTACTTCAGTACCTCCTTCCGATACTCCAGTACCTCCTTCCGATACTCCAGTACCTCCTTCCGATACTCCAGTACCTCCTTCTGATACTCCAGTACCAGATAATTATTTGTTTGAGAGTAATTCGAATTCATTTCCACCTGGATCTTCACTCACAATCACTTCAAGTCCACTGTTAAACTTTGGTTCAACTAATAATCAGAATCCAATTATTATTGGCTCCACGAAGACGATGAATTTAAAAAATTTTTTCAATACCAAAATTAATTCAAAAAATGTTTTACATTTCGGAGGTCCTTCAGGCAAATGTGAGTCGCCGACAATTGATTCGCAGGATAATATTAATTCTGCAGCGGACACAAACAATGGAAACAATATATTGGGTGGTAATGGCTCTAACACATTTGTACGCAGCAACGAAGGATCTCACTCATTAAACACAGATAACTCAAATCTGTTTTCTAGCGTCCAAAGCCAGCCTCAACAAACAGGAGGACTATTCAGAGATCAATCACAAACAGAAAACAGTAGTTGGGCTTCTTCTACAAATGTATGTTCAGCACCGCAAGGCCTCCCTACAAATCAAAGAAATCAGGCACCGCCTCTATTTACCTTTGGTGGAATGTCATCTGATACTACTTCAATGAACAACTTACCAACATTTCGTAAAAACGCTCACATGCCGTCGCCCTCGCCAGCGTTTGGTATGCTTCCTGCTAATGCCAACAATTCATTTAATTTGGGTTCTACTCTACTTTTTGATAATCAAGCAAAAGCAATAAGCAACATCAATAGTACACCAGGAGCGGCAGGAGGGCTTTTCGGACAAACATCTCAGAATTTTACACAAAACAGCTCATTACTTGTCGAAACGTCCCATGAGATGTCACTTCAGCCGAGCTTCAATTTTTCTGCTGGTCAAAGTCCTACTCCTAACGTATTCAACTTCTCTCAGGTACGGTATTGTTTCGATTAATATCATTAATAATAAAATTATGTACATAGTCATTTTCAATTGATGGAATTTTGAAGTTGTTTTCAACATTAAAACAATACATATAACAAATAATTTTATCTGTCTTCATGGTAAACATAATCGACAGAGAATTAAATAAGTAGATGTCGCTATGTAAAAAAAGTACAAATTCTTAACAACTAAAATGATTAGATTCAAGCCTAGCGCGTACACGTGAAAACTGGAATACATCTGAAACATTAAAGATGTATAAACATAATAATACTCTCCATTCTTTAACTATTGGGTCACACAGTTATATTCTGTAGTTTTACAGTTAAAGTACAGTTTTATTAGTGTTAAAATTATTTCTTAAGTACATAATGTAGAAATTGATGATGGTCATAAGTGTATAATTTTTACAGCAGTCGGGGGTTCTTAGTATGACTGGGTCGTCACCGCAATTCCAAGTTGGCAGCTCTTCCGCCCCAGGACAAGCTCGCCGTATAAGGAAAGCGGTCCGACGAACAACACCACGATGAACGCTTTATAATCAAAACTAGCCAAGATATGTTTTAAAATTACACCCGTGTCATGCATGTCACGTGTTTCGTCTTGATGAACGATATTTATATATATTTTTTAAAATTTTAAACTTAAATTCATTTTTAAACAGACTTTACACTTCACTTTGAAGTTAGTCCTTATATAGTGTATTTTAATAATGAAATAATAATGAAAAAGAAATGATGATGATGTAATGTTGAAAGTTACTTCGTGTGGACGTACTCGTTCCAGGTACCAAGGAGGGATCCCGCCGTGGATCCGCTCTTGTTGCTTTTTTAAAGTTTGAGTTAAAGAAGCTAGGATAATCGATTTTGAATATACACACCAATTTTATGTTATTTTGCAAGTTGTATTTTAATATTTAAAACATTGCTAATTAAGTTCTAATAAACAACTCCAATAATTGGATTAATGATTCAAAAACAGATGTGCATGTTATTTTAATCTTTAAGTTCTAATAAACATTTCTCCAATAATTGGATTAATGATTCAAAAACAGATGTGCATGTTATTTTAATCTTTAAGTTCTAATAAACATTTCTCCAATAATTGGATTAATGATTCAAAAACAGATATGCATGTTAATTGGATCTTTCATAGTTGGTTTAAAACCTATTTTACAAATAAATTTATGAATTAATTGTTAAGTGAGAATGTAGATACTAGTCTACATCCTACACTTTAACATCATTGTTTGATATTAAATGCTCATAATAATGTTTCAAATGCGTTCAAAATTTTTGAAAGAATGCTAATTTATAATTTTATGTTTATAATAAAGATCAAGATAAACAAATTGGGGAGCAAAACTAAATTAATTGTGATTGTTTCCTTTAGTTAAAATATTATAAATTGTTTATAAAGTAAAAAAATAACGTTGTTTAGTAAACATATATTTTTAGATTTGTTCCTCAATGTTAATTATTGATAACCAGTATTTTTATTTTCCTCTAACGTCTCCCAAAAATTTCCTTACATTGAAGCATTAAGGATATCGTACCGTACTAGCTAGCTGTACTGTTTTTACAAATGAGCTGTCTCGATCTATATATCTGCATGTGTATGCGATATGATAAAAGTCCGTATTGGAATAGTTATGCTCGTGTTTTTATACGTGACGACAGCCACGCTAATTCTGTCCCTCGTTAAAGGACCATAGGAACACCATTGCATATCAGGAAAAACGCAACATGGATAGAATCTGGCTAATGAAAGGAGGATAATTGAATTATTTGTAAACTTTCGGATGGCAACACAGAACGTCATTGAATTTCTTAGGTTAGTATGATTTATTTTCTTGATACTTCATGAAATTACTCATTTTTATTTCTATTATATATTTTTTCCGAATAGTTAACAGGTATAATAGTCAAAACTTTGTTTTATTTGATAGAATATTATGTTTCTTTCGCAGGGGTTGATTATTCCGAATAAAGTTGTGTTTTATAATATAGTTTTAGTTTTCCATGCAATGCTAGTCTTTTTAAGTATCAATAGTAAATGACTAATTACGTATAGTATTTAATTTCATAGAAATACAGTTACTATCAATGTTAAAAAACTTCATCAATCAAACTTTTAGGGATACCATACAATTTCTTTATTAATTTGCCGCTCTTTTTTGTTCTCTTTCATAAGCCAGACTATGAGTTATTACCCAGACACCTACACAGAGTTGCAGTCAAAGGAGGCTATACCAATTCCTTCACGAAGACTCATGTAATTTGGCTCAAATATTCAAATATATAGTTTTTTGTACTTTGCAAGAAATGCTAGCTCAAGAAAGGGTCTCCAACATTACCTTGAAATTCAAGACAAAAATAAATCCTCAGCGACGTGAACTTGCGATCGCATCAAGAGCCTTCAGGAAAAAGTAATATCAAATCCTGTCTCTAGGACTGATGTAGTTTTTAAGAATAAGGGGGGTTAGTATAAATTGCAGTTTACCTATATATTACCTTATAAACAACTGGATTCAAGGCGACCAATTGTATCGCTTAGTATTTTATCATAAAAATGTATCAACAATAAATTATTCGTAATATAAAAATTAAATTTTTGCGTCTTAAGATTATTCTTAAGAGTAAATCTTGGTATGAATTTGCTCAAATTGGGATGTTAAGAAAATGTGAGTTTTATATTTCTATACCGCTATTTTAATAAGAATATGATGAAATTTTACGTGTAAAAAAATTAAAATGAATTCATAGGTTGGGGTAAAATAGCTCCAATAGTCCTTTCTTGACGACTCAGGAATACATGTTTATACCCCTGTCCAAATATTCCGCAACTATCGTCTTTTATAGTATATCTACCTACGCCAGGCCAAACGACGACTCTTTTGTACCCAGGTGGTTTGTCGTAGCTACTATTAAAGGCAAATTTGTTTTTTTTGTATACCTTAGTTTTATCTATGTTTAAATGAGCTGGTCCTGGCTCTTCCGGTCTTTTCACACACATCGATATATCAACAAGTGCATTTCGTCCTCTATAAGGAAGACTTCGGTTAGTTTTATTCATTGTACCAAAGTGTGATTTTTTGTACGTTTCCAAGCAACCTTTTAAGGCTAGCGGCCATGTCGCCGCTCCGCACCTTAGTGATGTATTTAAATGATTTTTTATTGTAGTACCATCTCGTTTTCCGGTAAAAAGGTCATAAGGCCCCCGTAGGGAAACAATTTTCTTTGACTTCTGCTCAATACTTTCTTTGTCAACGATGGTATAGCGATTTGGTGCCAAAGACCATTTTGGGAATGTATCCTTAAACCGACAAGGTTCTTCCCTCTCGAAGGACGGTTTATCAGAATGTGGGCCATACGGTGCTTTGAACGGCGTGGCGGTGTAATAAGTACCCGGAGGTGGTGTAAAAGTTTTACGTGATTTAAATCTAGAAGTTCTTCCGAAGCCTACATTTTTGCAAGCTGATTCGTACTTAGGATGTTCTTTTATTTCAGTCCAAGCGGGGCCTAATACACTATTTTGCCACTTTCTCTGATTTAAAATTTTTTGATTCCTGTATCCTAAATTACGTGCCCAATCTTCAAGTTCAGTTTTATATCGCCATGGGTCCTTGTCTACTTTTCTGAAACGGTTGACTCGAAATATTTCACTTATGAATTGAGGATGGTATAGGCAAGGATCACAGCCGTTTGATCTTTCCGTATATAGTCCACTTCGATCTAGACTAGGATGGACAGTAATTTTTCCAAACCTTTTTGAACTTGAACCAAAAGCTACTTTTTGAGTACACATGCTTGATTTTCGTTACGATAGTTATAATTATTCAAAATTATAAGTTATAGTCTTGATGGTACATATAGGTGATAATTTTAAAATTTCTGTTGGCTGCGCTGTATGTACAATTATTGCATATTATGACAAAAGATGACATATGCATTATTTGACGAATGAATATTTTAAGTATTGACGTAGTAAGGATTAAATAAACATCATGATATAATAACGCCTTGGAGATCATTTTCTTTTGTGAAATATAACCGTTCTTATTTTAAAACACTATCACTAAGCAAAGGTTGGATTCGTTTAAAGTGCAGGATAAAGAAAGAATATACCTTCTTTCTTCCTTATAACGAAATCACATTTAAAAAACTTATAAAGGAACAAAAAGCAAAGGTAAAGTTTTCATACCTAATTGTCTCAACATAATGGCACAATGAAAACAATTGTTTCAGACGACCTTGTGCCCGGCCCCTATCTAATCGTAACCGAGATCTCATATATTCGATATAATTCTATAAATTCAAAGATTCTAAGTCTCCTAAAAATACTCCTACCCTTTTCCATTAAAATGTGTATTAGGAATTAGAGCGATTAGGAGCAAAACTCAACCTGATAAGTTGAACTATCAGGCTCAGTTGAAATGCGATTAATATCTTCAGTTGCGGACTGTATGTAGTAGGTTTATAAAAAATCGATGGCTATAGCCACGCTTGCGTCTCGCATGCAGCCTGCTGCCGTGTTCTTGTCGGGACTCGGTGAATACCGCACGCGGCACGCGGCACGTTTGCTCCGCGGTCACCCGGCGCGACAACTTGTTGAAAGCGCCACCTGTAAACACATGGAGTGACCGTTATAGGGTAAGCCTATTATCTAGTTATGTATGATTTTTGCTACAATACAAAATACAACTAGAGATTAACCAAATCAGTATTTAAATAACAAGCACACGTTGCCAATCTGCTTTATATTGGTAACTTACACAATATAGAGGAACGTAATAAATACGTTTAAAAGTTTATTCCATGTTTTTTAATAATATTAATTATAAGGACAGGAAAAGACTTGTCATTTACTGACTTGACAATTATTGCAAATTGTTATTGGTGTGTATTATTAAAATATTAAAAAAAATATTTTTGACAACGAAATATATGATCACTTCTCTTACATCCCTTTTTTGTATTATGAATTATTGTAAATATATCGAGTTGAAATTGTTTTACGCTAAGGACTCACGAAGCGGTTTGCACCCGCGCCCGCCGTGGTTGCGGGCCCGCAGCCTTTGTAGAATACAGATATTTATTTAAAAAATTAAAACACATTTCACGACGCGTTTTACGCTATAGTTATCACCCCCAATCAATTTCAGGCGCCAGAAACAGTTATTTAAATGAAAAAAATAAAAAAACCAACAAAAATATTGCCTAACCTAACCAAACCTTACCTACCGTAACTTTTTTTGTATCGTCCTCAAATTCATCCACAAAAGCCGGTCGTCTACCAAGCATAGAACTCGTTGACAGCTCAGGTTCTGAATCACGTCCACGTCCACTATTTCCAGACGCCATCACAAGAAATCAGTGTCTAGTATGTATGCCAAAGTCGTATAGAAAAGCAAATCAATCCGAGTCCAAAGTTTCAAAAAATGCAAATGAAATAACGCACATATACGTAAAAATAAAAAAAAAATAAAAAGTAACGGATTACTAACGGATATTTTGCACTTTAACGCTGTTCTCATGCTATTCTGGCAAAATCCACATTCGAAATGGCCGTTTGCGTTTATAAAATTAATAGGGATGTGAAAAATAATAGATTTTTTTAAAAGTAAAAATCGATTTTTGTATTCGATTTTAATATTAAAAATAATTGAAAATCGAGCATGGTTGATAAATAGAATTAATATACTAATCTAACCTAACCGAACAATAATAATAATACATTTTTGGACAGCTCCGGCGCTATGGGAAATGCAGCCCCTCCACCATTGCGTACCAAAGCACAGCTATTTTATTCAAGCCTCCGCAGCTTCGGCTTTTTGGTCCAGCCTTAGCCGCTACGGCTTGCATAATGATGACTGTGCTTTGTTACGGCGGGTGGGGGCTGCTCTTCCTCCACGCCTCCGATTTTGAAGTGAAACTTCTTTATCGACGTTGGAAAAAAAAATTACGTACGCGTACGCGTCACATCTTTCCGTCCCGCGGTCTTTTTCTTGTGAAATGTGAAAAAATTTCTTTTTCTTTAATGAAATTCTGAATAATCTTAGTAGTAATAAGGTAAAATTAAATAATTGTATTATTTGTTTTCATGTCTATAATAATAATAAAATCCTTTTGTTAAACTTTATCTAATTTAACTTTATTTAACTAATTTCTGTAAAGTTGCATATAGGTGATCATTTTTGAAAAAAAAAAGGGTCCGTGTACTTATGTACGCGCGTAAGAAGTTATACTTCTTTGGCAATATTAAAAATAGTTTGGCTTTGTTCCACCTCCAGTTTTTGATGTTTCACAGCGATAAGATGAAAACTCTTTTTTTGTATTCAATTTAGTGCAGTTACACTAGATAAAATCAAAAAAATTACATGTTTTGATTAAACAATGTGGTTAATTTTTTAATCAAAACATTACTCGATAATAATAATAATACATACGGATAGTTAACCTAAATTGTATTGAAGCACTTAGGAAGGTTGATGAGCACAGTTTTTTCACAAATATTAATTAGTATTGGTTTAAATATTCAATTTAAATCACTTCTGATTATAATTCAAAAAGCATCGCTAAATTTCTTTGAAAAAATAATTAAAACTCCTTTATTTGTTTAAAAGGTAAATGACAAATGTCATTATGGTCATTCAAAATTGTTGGCATACGAACTTCACGCATATTCTATTTCTTTTTACTTGTAGATTGTCTTATTCCTATCTCGCTCGCGCACGCTATAATCACACTCCTAATTTTGTGTCACGGGTGCGCGCGCATTGTAAAATTTCATTCTCATAAATTTTTCATAACGCGCCTAAAGAAGTATAACTTCAATAAAAGGTTTCACTTCTTACGTGTGTACACTAGTACACGCACACATTTTTTTTATATATCCTCTAGGGGTAGGGCAGACCCCACTTGCGTGGTCTTGCCACGTGGATAGTGCGGTGCTCTGATTCGGTTTTGGGTACTTTTTGGATAATTTCAAAATTTTCGGAATCCTACACTAATTGAAACGTGAAATTTGACATCAATTATTTGTCAAATTTATTTTGTAATGGTTAAATTAGGTTCAACTTTAAAATTAACATATGAGGAAATAATCGAAAAATGTCGGATTGTTTAAAAATTTCAATACATTACACAAAACTTTAAATTTTTTAAAAATACTTACACGCATTTCCGGCAAAAAAATAACTTGGAGGTGTTCCAATTAAGGTCCCCCAATACTCCTGCATAATCAGTATCATCAAATTCGGTCGACCGATTTAAAAGTTCAACCCATCGTTAAAATATCTAAAACATTTATAATAGTACGCTGTACAATTATAAATGTTAATATAAAATATATAAATGTTAAATGGAATATATAGCAGGTAAGATATTCCCGTGTTTGTCGTGGAAAATATAGGATTTCATAATTTAATAGGGTAAATAACAGGCTTTTTCTTGTACCCGCAGGTAACGTCAATCTAGTCCAGTTGTAAATTTAGACACCTACATATATTTAGTCAAAATAATTGGATCAGATTAGACAAAATTCGTGAATATATATACACGTGAAACAGTTAAATAATATCGGAGATATGTCTTAATGATACCTAGAAGTTATAGTGCTTTTATATACAGTTTTAATTTTTCATTTAATCTTCCAAGCAACAAAAAACGCTAAATGGTCATGAAAACAATTCCCCACCGATTTGTCTCATTACCAAAAAGTAGGTATAGGTCGAGTGCGTGACAAAGCGTGTATTTTAAAAGAGTAAGAGGATATTTACTCAAAGAAATTTCATTTTAAGTAAATATTTTATTTTTTAACTTAACAGACCCGGCCTTCAACAAAGTGCTCCTGCGTAGGTAAGTACTGACAAATTCCCTATAGTATAAGATCCCGCTATACAACGACCTTCACCGAGATGCTTATTTAATGAAACATATTTTATATTAAATTTAATATATCAATAAATATAATCCATATGGGTTGTCTAGCAAATTTCAGTCCAGAGTATGTTTAATTAATAATTTTAAAAAAATATTTTTTTAAACATTTCACCGGTATGATTATTAGATAAATTCTATACCAATCGAAAGTATGAAGCCCATAGAATATGCAAACTTTATGCTGCCCATTCTTTTCCGGTCACAACTATCGGGTTGCCAGGTATAAACAGGTAAATCTGTACTAGTATTTTGCAACGGTCTGTTTATTGAATGAAATTTAAATGAAATTAAAGATTCTTTTATTCTGAACACGGTGGTATAGGGTTGTCTGCGAAAAATCAGTCCAGAATTGCGGTTGTCGAATTTTAAAAAGTAAAATATTGCTCCAAGTGAATGTGTGCGACTGAGAGGTCCCAACCGACCATCCCATGCGATAGAAGAGGACACAGCATAGCAGCTGTTTAAAGTCCGCCCACTTAAAGAATGAGAGTGCGCATGCTATTTGCGCTTGGAAAAGAAAAGGATAGCGATGGACTCGTATAATTATGCATCATTTTGGAGTAGTTTATTATTTAAATAGAGAAATAGTTATTTAATTTTTTTTTAATCAATTAATTATTTATGTGTATATTTTTTATGTGACACTAAAGTATATATACATCTTTAGTAAAAATGAAGGTTGTAGTGATTCATATATAATAATACCCTGATTAAAAATATTAATTGAAAAAAAATTAAAAAATGTACCTACTACATGCAAATTATAAATCTATAAATGTAAACAGAGAAATTGAAATCAATTGAAACTATTGGAAAAAATTCAAAACCCATAAAAGTTAATTTTTTTTAATCAGGGTAATCTTG